CTTAAAGATGATCACACATTTAGTACCTGTTTCCTTGTGACAAGATTGGGTTCAGTTTTCCAATGCCATATAGGACCTCTATAGAAGGGGTAGACAGGAAGAAGTAGGGGTAAATAGGGCATTTTAAAGGCTTAATTTACAGGGTTTTTTTTCAATAAGGGCTTCTTTTGGTTTGTTTTCCCAAACACTTCCTAAGCTTTGCAAAAAACAAAGCAGGTTCCCTCTTGTCCCTTCATCACCCACCCTGATTCCTCCCCAGATTAAAGCCAGTCTTGAGTGAATCAAGAGTCTCAGTGATTAAAAAGGAGTATGAGAATTTGTGGCCTATGAGTCTGTGGACATTAGAAATACAAATGATTCTGGAGAGGAAAACAACCCATGCTGAGGACTTAAAGACCATATTTTGGGGGTAACTTCAGCGTAATTTTATTGTGGCCCTGAGGACTGAGTTGCCATGAGTGTAGTAGGTGGAGGTCCAAGGAAACCATGCTTCATGAGCCAAGGTAAAATCTCATCACTCCAAGGTAGAACTACCACCATGGAGGAAATCACTTCAATTACACATTGCTAATCTGAACCCAAATGCAGGTCTAGATGCATCCTAACTCAACTTGTGATTCAAAAGCACAGGATAAAAATTTAAAATTTGCAGATTGCGCTAATTGCAATATTTCTATTTTCTTCAACCTCAAAGCACTGAAGCTGGTTATCTTAAAAATATCCCTTCAATATCACAACAGCTGTGTGCACTGTGTGTATTGCTATGGGAACAGTAGAGCTAAAGCATTAACTGAGATCCTGGAATCTTAGAATGCCCTGAGTTGGAGGGGACCCACAAAACTCATTGAGTCCAACTCCTGGCTTTGCACAGGACACCCTAGGAGTCCCAGCCATGTGCTCTGGGTGCACTGTCCAAACACTCCTTGAACTCTGTCAGGGTTGGTGCTGTGACCACGTCCCTAGGGAGGCTGTTCCAGTGCCCAAACACCCTCTGAGTGAAGAACCTTTTTCTGATATCCAACCTAAACCTGCCCTGACTCAGGTTCAGGCCATGCCCTCAGGTCATGTCATTGGTCACCAGAGAGGAGACATCAGTTCCTGCCACTGCACACCCCCTTTGGGTGAGGAAGCTGTAGATTGCTAGGAGGCCTCTCCTCAGTCTCCTCTTCTGTGGGCTGGGTAAATCAAAGTGAGAAGGTTGAAAATAATACATAGGATGTCTTGATTCAAGTCTCCTTGCATTACACATTAGGAATCTTTCCACTGAGTTCATTGGAGCTTTGTTTGGAGTAAAATGTAGCTGGCTGCGACAGAGCCGGCCGGCCGGTTGCTATTACTCACTCAAATTCCCAAAAGGAATTTTGCCTGCAAAAAGACCACAAGATTTGACCCCACTAATGACTTCCATGGTGTTTTCTGCACAATATAGATTACCAAAGTGGAGCCATGACTCAGAGGGTTTTCCTGGTCCAACCTGCCCATCATCAGCTCTTCCCTGCAATCTCAGCAATGAAGAAAGGTAGAGTGGCCATTCACAAGGTGTTTGCCCAAGAATAACAGCTCTCAGCCTGCTCTGTAAACCAGATTTTAGTCATCAAAGCAAAGAAAAGAAGGAATAAAAGTCCACCCAAGCAAACAAAACACACAAACAAAACCCTTCAAGATATTAAAATCTGCTCAAAGAGAATACAATTTAAAAAAAATAAAAATTGAGAAATTGATAGAACACTAATGTTACTTTAGCATCTTATGTGGTAGCTGGGGGGATGTGATCTTAGGGATTCTGTTCATCCTCCTCCTGACATTGAAATATAAGATAATTGATGTAAGAAGTCTCTAGACAAAATGTATATATTTCCTAGAGTATATGCAGACAGAGTGTCTCCATTTGTGTCCTTTACAGGATGCTCATTCTCTGGTCTGGCCCCAATCCTGCTTCATTTCACTCAATGCCCCCAAGACCTGTGAAACAACATCAGAAGGAAACTGCAAGAACGTATTTCAAGAACTTTTGAGGAAAAAAGGGTTAGAGATAGAAACTCAGGAGCTAGTTCCATCTAAAGAAAATGGAAAAAACCACAATAATTGTGCCGACTGCAAAAATCTGCCATGCAAATCCGCCTCTAATTTTTGCCATTGCTGAGATCCTGGAATCAATATTTTAGTCCAACTGCAATCTGTTTATGAACGAAAGGAGGGAAAGGTTGTAGCATTACGAATTAAAAAATAATAATCTCTCAAGCTTAATAACAGCAAAGATGATTATTTCCTTTGATTTGTCAGGCTAATTGAAAATAGCTTTATAGTTCACAGATGATTAATTAGGAGCCAACAAGATCTCCATTTGCATCTCGGTAATTCTTCACTCTGTTTTATTTCAACATTTAGTCTTTATGCTTAAAGTATTCATTGAGAAAGTAGAAAGGTGATTAACATAAGATTCTAAGTGTGTACCATTTGTTCTAATTTTTTTTTTTTTTTACATATTTTTGTCAACAGAGAAGAAAGGTAAGAATAAACAACATTACAAAACGATTACTGCCTGTTCTGCTTCCATCTGCCAAATCTTCCTTTACAGTAGACATACTTTAACCAGGTTCACTTTGAAACAGGAGAGAAAGAGCCCAAATAAAGGTCAACCCTCTGCCCTTCCTCCCCCATTCCCAAATCATCAACTCTCTGACCTCTGTATAATCATCCTGAAAGTTTTGAAATGTTTTATTCCTTACATGCAACACCCTCGCGTGTGTGAACCATCCTGCAGCAGCAGCAGATTAGACCACGCCACTGTTACCCCTCCCTCCAGAGATCACCCGAGAGAAAAGTGGCTTCAAACAGCTGTGACAGATAGGATGATATTTTTCCATCCACCTGGCATTGACAGGCAGGACTGCACATATTTCTGGGTGAAATATTTCACTCAGCATTAAAAATATAAAAATAATTTGCTGGTCACGTCTGTTGAGGTTTTCTACATTTGGGGGTTGTATTTTTGTTTGGGATTTTTCAAGCATTTTCTCACAGCCTTGGTAACCTCTGTCTTATCACACTGAGCTTAAATCTCCAGCAAATGGAGTGGTTTGATAAGAAGTTTAACCCTTCATTTGGAAGGTGAATTCTCAATTCTTATGATAGTATAAAGAAGCTGGATTAGTAAACTCTGAAAACTAAAAGAAGGATGGATTCCTAAGGATTAAACAACCAGAAATTAAACAATAAGAGCCAAACTCAGTTGTTATCAATAATAATATTAAAATTGCACTGTTTCAAAGAGAGTTCTTGCAGGATGAGACTGGCTAATGGCCTTTGAATTTTTTTTATTTTTCTTCTCTTATCAAATCCAGCCTTTCATAATGGATTCTGCCTATTCCTCCAAGAGAAGGACAGACCTGGTCCATCCTGATTTCACATCAACATCTCAACTGTTGCTTATTTGATCTGTCACTGAGTACTCAATGAGAGAGAGCAGAATGTGCTTTTCCAGCTCCTCTCCAAAACCTTTGCTTTTTTCAAAAGCAACTGGGATAATGAGGACCCTGCTGTACCTTTGCACTTATCCCAGCCCCAAATTGTCCTCAACACCACTTTTGTCATGGTTGCCTGAGACCCAAAGGGACCCATCCCACCTGGGAGCCCGAAATCACACAGGGGCAGTGGCTGGGCTGCAATTCAAGGGACAGGGAGCACACACTGGACAGTGGGGTTACACTAACATGCAGTCCATTTATTTTTGAGGGTTTTTTTCCTTTGTTCCGTGATTAATCTTTTTTTTTTATCAAGCCACTGCAAACATTGCTTTGGCTGTCAGCATGAGCGCAGAGACAGACATTCCCGTACCCGTGGTAACTATGTAATAAATACCATCCAAACAAATGCTAAGAAAAATTAATAAAGAAAGAAAAATATTCCTTTTCCCACCCCCAAGCACAAAACACTGTTAAGTCAACAGAATTTAATCTAGTTTATTCTCAAAAAAAAAAAAAAGAGGAAAAAATATGAAAACAAAACAAACCAAAACAAAAAAGCAGGTCTTATCACTAGCAGTAAATAAATTTGTACAACCATTCAGTCTGTATAATAGGATGAAATAAATCTACATCTTCCTTATTTTGGTGCGTTGAATTATACATACAAACAACAATTACAGGAACTTGTTCACAATGCGCATAGACCTGGAGAATGGCTATCTGAAACCCCCTTGTTGGCAATGTCCGCATGTTAACACTGATTGCCTGACACCATTGGTACCTCCTATGTAAAAGGCCCGTGGCCCAAAATGAATGATCTCCCTACAGGTTTTATTTATTTAGTTATTTAGTTAGTTAGTTAGTTAATGCATCATCAAAACCGTTCTAGCCAGCCCCCTCCCCCTCCCCGGAAACGAAAAAAAAAAAAAAGAAACCAAAATAAAAACTAACCAAAATAAAAACCAAAATAAAAATAAAATACAAGGAGAAGACATGACTGGCAGTTGGTCCATTTGTTCATAAGACCGCGTTTCCTCTTGGTCTGCATTGTTTGTTTTTCTGGTTTTTAAATTGTCCTCCCATCTTCTTTTTTTTTTTCTTTTCCTTTAAAAAAATTCTCTCGGAGTCCTTCATGCCTTTTTCTTTACAGCTCCTCAGATGCAATAAAGTCTTCCTCAAATGTACAGTATTTCTTACAATATAAGTTATATGCAATGTTCAGCGTTTTTTATTTTATTTTATTTTATTTTTTCACAGCACTAGAGATCCTGTCCAATAGGGAATGCAAGTTCTGAATGGCTTATTCACAAATGGTATCCAGATTCAGTGGATAAGAATACATAGACGCCATAGTGAGTTCCTTTAAAAAGTGGCAAACATCACTTTTTTAAAACTTTTTTTTT